ACTCTAAGATGATAGCACAAGAGCTGAATATCATACAAGAAGTATCTAACATAATATTTTATTAATGGTGTCTTAGCAAAACTGAGAAAAGAAAGAAAAAAGACGACACCACACTTCCCGTGCCGTAGGTGTCCAAATGTCATTCCTGTCTTTATGTATGGCTTCATCGGCGTTAAGTTGGAGTAAAACATCTGTCTACATACCAAGATGAAAGGCAGACTATCACTTTCACAGAGATATATAGATCAGAACTTCGAATACATTGATTTACTGGAGGATGGAGGCATGGTCAGGTACTGGAGCGTGGGCGTGAATATTTTTTTATTTTTTTTAATGCTCTAAAACATGGAACCGGGTACGTCCATCTGGCCCAACGACGGTTCACCTCAGAAAAAGTCTGTTAAAAGTATGCGACATAATTCAGACGTCGGACAAAAATGGTAAACCCCTTCCACACTATACGTGACGTTACCGCAAAAGAATAGCCTACACACAAAACACACAACAGGAGCCCGCAGCAGGCACACAGCACAGGCTGTGCTGAGCGCGGCAGCCATCCTGTAAATATTTCCGAGCAGAAAAACATAGCGGAGCGAACACTCAATTGTTTTCCCTGCTTATCTCTCCGGGACAGTATCCTGCTTTTTTTTCCTTTTTTTTTCTCTTTTTTTTTTTTTTTTGAAGGCAGGGCTTTTGGTGACACACAGCTTCCTTCTCAACCTTCTCAACAGTGGTGACTTCACTTCCCAATTTTAGAGGAAAGAAAAAACTCAATCCGGTAAAAGTGTCTCTTTCTCTGCGCCGCGTACCGGGGACTGGAATTAATTCAGGAGCGTGTCATGTTTGGAATATTGTCAGGGTCCGCTGAAAATTGCGCAAAATGGACGGAACTATTAAGGTAAGGGTGGAGAGCGGGGTGCATGACTTTGTGGGAGACAGCTTTTTCGGAGTTGCGCCTCCTTTTTTAAGCAATGGGTTGAAATGCTCCGCTGTGTCGGTCTGAGAAGTGGGACATCCAGTCTGACGACGATGAGTGGCTTTTTTCTCTCGGTCTGAAAGCAGCAACCAGATTTCCCCTCTTTCCCCCTTTTCCTCCTTTCTTTGAAAGCAATTCTTCCCTTTATTGAAAAAAAAGAAACTGTCTGGTTGCGCCGGAGACGCTGCGTGGATTCATAGCGAAATCAGAGTCACGTTTTGGATTTTGGGGACCAAGCGCACGATTACGCACGTCTGGAAAGGCACGGATAAGTTATTGATTGTTCCAGATAAGACGGTTTAGAGTTTACTTTCTTAAAGGTGTGAGTGGTGGGTAAGTCTAACGGTCTCGGTTTAGTGTGGGAAGCGGGAATTGAGCAATAGCCGTTCCTGGATGTGCCGCTGGACACGGTGTCGAGCTGCGCAACAGCGGTGTGGCACACCGCCCGGCTCGGTCCGGGTACCGTGTCGTGAGTCAAGAAAAACTACCATGATTCTTTAACGCGTTAATCGGCCTTTGTGTGTTTTCGTTGTAACTGGTGTTCCTTCCGCTGCCTCGCTGGAGTTTGTCGAGGAAAGCTGTCATTTGGCAACTCCGCGCGGCAACTGCAACCATTTGCAACACTTTCAACCGCAAAGCTTCACAATGACACGCCGACCTGCCCCCTTAAAACAGTTACACAACTATTTTAGAAAAATGGCACGCTGATAGTGGCTGAGTGCTGGTCTGCATTAACATCGGCTACTGGCTCCCGACATTCAAATTCCAGATGCATTATGGCTGCGGCTGCAGCAGCCACCAGATGTTGAGTGGCGAGTCCCGGTTAGTTCTCCCTGTGATGCGTTCAGCCCGAGTACTCCGGTTAACAAGTGTAAGCTCAGGAGTGTGCAGTGGCTGCTTTTTTTCCGCTCTATTATTGCTGCTGAGAGGCGAAGCAACATGTTTTCTTTTTGGAAATTTAAAGCCGCTCGTTTGCGGCAGCTGGGTGTGGTGTGAGTTTTTTTGGACGAGTGTAAACGTTGGTCAGACAGAAATGCCAGGCTACGAAGAGCCATGGTCACTCGAGTCCCGTCATTCACCTCTCACAGGATCGCTTTGTTTTTTGGGGACTGAGAGGAGAGGGGTGAGTGCCATGCCGCGGGAGGATGTGACTTTCTCAATTTGGCTTTCTGTAACAAAGCGAGAAGCTGTGACAGTTAATGTTATCATAATTGAATCCCTGGGTATAAATGACTGGCTGTGAGCTGCATTCATGCTCGCTAAAAGAAAGGAAGGACTCTCTAGCCATGAGAGCTTCCTGCCCTACACAATCTTTTCCTGACAGGTTTCCTCTTCCTCCTTAAACAAAGGACAGGAACCCCCCCCAACCACATACACACACACACCCCTCTCCCTGCCACCCTCCCTCACCCCATGGTGGCTCCAGCCTCCTGCCAGAGAGTTTCCGTGTATGTGGTGTGAAGGCCAAACAGATACACGTGTAGTCTGGATGGGGAGCCTTTTCCCTGTATCCAGTCTGCTCCAGACGCGTCGTGACGCACTTGAGGAGATCGACTTGGCTGATGTAAACAGAGTAGATGTGGCTCCCAGCAGGTGTCACACTCACACAATGCTTCTAATGGCTTCACAAGTGAGCTCTGATTTATCAGCTGGCTCTTCCTCCTTTGTGAGCTGCAGCGTAGATAGGCACACAGGAAAAAAAAACAAAAAAAACGAACTGAATATGGATGGGATTAATGTTGCAAGACAATTTTGTTTTTAGTAGCATCACAGATATAAATAAACATCTGGATGTTCGAGACGGAAAAACAACTCAAACTGTTTGTATGTTTGTGCGTGTTCCTTGAAGATACTGGATAGAAAAGGCAAAGAAGGGGCACCATTCTGTCAGCCTTCCAGCCTGTCACTTTGATGTGGGAAGCTCTCTTTTCTGTTCTCTCTTTTTTTTAACGAAAGTAAGAAAGAGTAACTGCAATTTAGATTAGCACACACCACTTGCCAATCATGGCTTCAGTTGGAGAGGCTGATATGTCAGTGTAAATATAGCTTGCAACAGTCATAATAGTTAAAAAAGCCCTTATCAGCCTGTAATGAGACATTCCCTCACTCTTTTACACTTTATCATCTGCAGACTCGCTGCTGTGCTCCGCTCAGATACTACGTCTTGCTGCCAGTGCTCAGACTCTGATGGATCCTCTGATGAAATCACTGGAAAAAGCTAATTCTGGCAGATAGTTAAGTCCTCTGGAGAAGTTCAGCTCTTTTGTTTGTGTACTTGCATCTCTCTATTAACTTGAAGCACAGTACTTTCATGAAAACTTTGCTATTTATTTCCATTTGCGATATAACCAAAATCTTGTCTACGGGAAAGAAAAAAAATTAAAACGAATGAGATCTTCCACATTCCCCATAATTTTCAACGCTGAGTACTGAGCCACAAATATTCTAATTGATAATTGTCAAAAGTATTGTGATTGTGTTTGAGTTTATCATGAAGAAAGCAGCTCCAGCGGATGCATAAGACTCCCAGATTGTGTTAGTTAAAGAAGGTTTTGGTTCACCTTACTTTCATGGATGCTGGTGAACAGTGGATAGTGTCAATATCAGAAATTTCCTGGGGTTTCAGGGTAAGATTCGTCATATAAACTATATAAAAGAGGTGAAAACTTTCCATCTGCGTGACATCTTTGGAAGGAAACGTTTTGATGTTCTGTAAGAATCATAGGATTTCCCCTTCATAAAAGGGACCTTTCAGAGAATGCAACAGGGGCATGTTGGAAATATTGATCAGTGAATATTAAGCAGGATTTTGCCCCTGGAGCAGATATGCAGTTCGCTGGAATGAGAGAAGTCAGTCCCCAGGGATTAGACACGTCCCAGTCTAAGCTGTGCCATCAGAATCCTATCAGATCCAGATGTATATCAGAACCAATTCTAATCCTCAAATTCCTGCACTGCTGCCATTTCCCGTCATTTTATTTGACTACTTATGCGTTTGGCTTCTTTTAAAATAACTTGTTTCTATGTATTAGAAAATGACTAATGGAACGCTTACGAGAAAGGCTCTTTGTCATTGTTAAGTAACATGCATTTTGTTTGCCAGCTAAAATTCCTCAACGGGCACAGATCGGGGCTCCACGTTCACATCTAACCCGTCGGGTTCAGAATCCATGTTTTACTCCGACGTTACACAAGGAGGACGACGAAACTCCACAATATCTTGGCCAGCGCCGCAAGTTTCTGTGTTTGTTTTCTTTAATAAACTTACATTGCTCCAGCTGAGCCAGAGCAGAGGGGTCAGTGTAGCTGTGACCCCCCGCTTCTGTTGAGTCTTCATTTGTGGAGGGAAGCCCAACAGCCAGACACCCCTGAGCCCAGTGAAAATACAACAATGAACTTCTCACCATACGAGGAAATAAACTGACTTCAGGAATAATTGGAAATGAGATTATTGCATAAATTAGGAATCTGATGATTTTTCTTTTGGTGTTGTTATATTACATTTGATAGAAACTGGTAATTGCAGACTACCATGTGTATCTGATTATATTGTGAGTAAACCAAAACGCCTGTTGCATCTTATCTTCCAACCCCACCGTGGGCATGATTGAAGTCCTCCTAACATCAACAGGAAGCTACAGTTGCTGCTCCGGCTGTGTACACAAACTACTGAGGATGCCAGACTGTGATATGACCCATAACTGCACATAATTGCAGTAAACAAAAAATACACATGAGATTTCAAATTTGACATCACAAGTTTCTTGGTAGTGTCAAATCACAGAAACGAGCTGCTTTCATGAGAGTCGATCTTGAGATAGAAACGGTTTGATATCTGCTTACACGTACCCCTATAGCCAATCATCAGAGAGCTATAGAAGTGCTCCTTTGCATCTTTGGGTGGCAATTCACGGCACAATCTATTGGAGTAGGTGTTTGAAATGATCATCAAAAGGTTCACTGTGGTCTGAATGTTGCTGTATGACGTTTACATAAATGATTGTATGTATCTTTTCTTAGCAAATTGAAAAAGACAAGTATTTGTTCCCTTCTTCTCCAGGAGGCGCTATCAGTGGTGAGTGAAGACCAGTCCTTATTTGAGCCTCCATACGCTGCTGCTGCCCCTCTCCCCAAAACAGACATGACTGCATCTGGCACACAGGACTATGGCCAGACCCACAAAATCAACCCCTTACCCCCACAGCAGGAGTGGATCAACCAGCCTGTGCGGGTCAATGTCAAGAGAGAATATGAGCACATGAATGGATCCAGGTACGAGCCAACAACCCCTCCCAATGTCTTGTATTTTCTTTTCAAATTAATCTTAGTTACACAAAGAGCCACTGCCGTTGTCATTTGTCATTCAACAAGTCATTTCTTTGTTGCTACTGACCGGCGTTTTTTTTAGCCCTCTAATCGTTGACTTACTTGGCAAGGAAAGCGTCGGGCTCAAATATCTGATGCCAAAGTCAATTGGGAGATGGAAAACTCAACAACACCCAATTTATTTTCTGATAATGTTTTTACAACTATAGTGTGTGTGTGTCTGTGCACGTGTTTGTGCAGCAGGGAGTCTCCTGTGGACTGCAGTCTGGGTAAATGTAACAAGCTGGTGGGGGGCAACGACACATCTCAGATGACCTATGGAAACTACATGGACGAGAAGAGCGCTCCTCCGCCCAACATGACCACCAATGAGCGGAGGGTCATTGTCCCCGCAGGTCAGTAGCTCCAAATGTTTAGGCTGCAACTGTCGAGATTTGCTCAAAAATTGTAAAATTATGACATTTTTAAGTGTATTGTTTTTTTATTATGTGAAACCGTGACAAACGTGACAGTGCAACTGGTAATAGTAAGAAAACAAAAGGTCTTTAAATGTCAAATTTCAAAGAACCCGACCAAAGTCACCTGTAAAGAGGTTCGGAAATGGGTGGAACAAGGTCAGCTGTCAATTAAGGGTGTGAACCATTAGAGACGAGGTCCCATGTAAGTTATTCACGTTTAAAAGCGTAAACTAGAAATCACATATCCAGACAGCTCCACTGTCAAGTAGGTATGTCGAATGTGAATCCCAGTCTTTTCAACAATGATTCCCTTTTTATAGCGTTATACATAAGTGAGCACATTACCCCTGTTCCAGCTTCCCTCCACTGGTGCCTGTTTTTGAATTTCTACTTACATTTGAAGGTCTTTGTTGCCTCCCGCCTTCTTATTTATCTGGTCATTTATCAAAGTATGAGGCTCTTAAGAGTTAAAAAAACTAACATGTTCCCAAGGAAACAAAAGTCTCCCCTAAAGTCAGGAATGAGCAACAAGCTTGGTTTGGATTTCCATTGATTCAAACTTAAACTGTAGGTGGGTATCACCACATCTGAGCCATGCTAGGATACAGAAGCACAGGCGATGAAAACACTCATTTTTGCCTTTATCATGTCACTGCCATGTTTTGGACATGTGGATCCGTCACTCAGTTTTGTTGTTTAATCAGGTTGTCACATCACAGACACAGCCATCATGTTGTGTTCATAAATCAGTCTATTTGTTCACAGCATTTTATTCACAGTCAAAATTTTCCCCTGGTTTGGTATAATTTTAACAATGCTGTAAAGTTTTGTTTTGTTTTTTTTTTCCTCCAAGTTTTAGCAGTTACTTTGGCGGTTAATGGGCTTCAGCCTTGTTCCTTTGTGTTTTATGTCAGCTTTGGGAGCACGCTTGAATGGGCGCAGGTAGCGATGTCTGTTCGTCTGCCAGACCTATTTCATTCACTGCTTCACTGCAGTCTTTTTCTGCAAAAGAAATAGTACAGGACAGGGAATAACAAGTGCCGTTTCACGGTTTAGGCCTGAAAAGCAATCTCGACACGTAAGTCAATTACACTGGGTCTCACGAGCCAGCAAGCTCAAGAGAAAGACTGTATTTTGTCAATAATGAGCGCCCGTAATTTATTTAATTAGAACTGAATGGAGCCTTGGTGAATTTTCCATTTTAAAGGCTTTTCAAATGTTACTCTTAAACTGATGCAATCCCCACTCATCTATTAGTCGTGTTGCAGCTCTGCTAGATGCCTCTTCTTAACGACAAGTGGTGAGTTCAGGGTTTGGTTTCCCGAATTTGCCGTGCAGTATATCAGAGTTTGCCAGAGAAACACTTGGCAGGACTGAGCTGATTTTACTGCCGAATTGGACAAAAAACAAGAAAAAAAACAGGAATTTCTCTGGGGGGGGGATTTTGAAATGTATATTGCTGTGTGATTCATGATTTCACTAAAAATTAATGTGATGCGTTTCTCTCGCGAAAGCTGCTTAAATCAAACAGAATTAAAGTTAGTTATCACTCTGACTGTCTCAATCTGGTGCCCCCCCCTTTAAATTTAGCCTGCAGCCTGCTCCTTGCTCCGCCTTGCTTCACGGTAGTGAGATGTCAGACTTTCCCAGCTGTCTTCCCCGAGTGTCCATAACCAAGCGTTTTGCAGTCAATAAACTTCCACTCTCTGCTTCTGCCTTCCTGCAGACCCGTCGCTGTGGTCCCAGGACCACGTGCGCCAGTGGCTAGAGTGGGCCATCAAGGAGTACGGCCTGTTGGAGATCGACACAGCAATGTTTCAAAACACAGATGGCAAGGAACTCTGCAAGATGAGCAAAGACGATTTCCTCCGGCTCACCACCATGTACAACGCAGAAGTGCTTCTCTCTCATCTCAATTACCTCAGGGAAAGTAAGTCCACTTTGTGCACATATCACATGTGGTTGGGAATCAAGCAGAACAATGCTGATCAGTTAACAGGCCAGTGGAACTAATGCCGGGAACATGTTGCTTGTCCATTAATGAAAAAAGGGCAGAACAAATTATGTTAAATAACTCTCCCTTCAGTCCATCCAAAGGTGACCCTGTAATAGTAAACTACTGTATATTGTATTCAAAGAATATGGAGCCTCTAGTGGTCATAAGAGGAACTGCATTCGAAGTGTGAAAATAGTGCTCTGTTGCTAATTGAATGACAAAGAAAAGAACTGTTCGACTCTTATGGTTGGGATCTCCTTCTCCCCCGATTTCCCCCTCCTTTTTTTGCATTTTTTTCAAAGGAAATGCATCTAAATCAAACTTGATCCGATGTGTGAAGGTTCATACGAGTTGTATTTCCCTCACTCTGCCGGTTAGGGATCTCGTTTAGAAGGCACTCTTAGAGGTTGCATGTGGCGCTATTAATAATTCACGTATTTGGTTGGTTGGGCTGGAGGATTTGTCGGTGCATTTGGCTGTTTTTGGCTCTGGCGTCTCTCTTCTTGGCATCCACCATAAAATGGAAGTCAAAATCAATTGAAGGCACTGGCCGCCTTTCCTATGTGTTTTTTTTTTTTATTCTTGCGCAGAAGAACTGTTCGTGAAAACGGACTTTTTTGCCAAGAATGGGAAAAAGACCAACATCACACTTCTTTTGTCAAACACCATATTCACGTTACCAACAATAAACAAAGGAATTGCTTTTACTGGAACTCATTTCTCCAAAATGGATAGCCATCTTAAGGAGAGACGTGGAAACCAAGAGCATTTCTTTTCCCTCTTGAGATAACCATCGACTGCACCCCCTCCCCACAGACACACACACACACACACACACACTCTTTGCAGGGGCTTACTCCACATGGTCCACAGAAAGATGAAGCCCAGGTGCATTGCCTCAGGAATCGGCCTGCGTGTTCAGCACGGCAAAGAAAGTCGATCTGCAATTTGCAATGGAGGCAACTGAATATGAGCCTCTTACCTTTGAAGAGCACCCCGCTGTAAACCCGCCTCATATGTTTCAGCGGAGGAACGAGGGCCAGTTTGTATGCAAATGACATTTTGATGTAAGATGTAACATCTGTTGGGGCAGTGACCTGCATACACAACAGTGGCTGGTTCAAAACCCCGAACCAACGCGTCTGAGCAGAGAAAATCCCGACTGATGTTATCGTCGCACATCCAGAGAACAGTTTGTCCCATCTCTCAGCTCTCTGGATTCTGAGCCTCCTTAACTTGGGAGAGTTTTCTTCAGCTGAGGGTGCCGAGTATCATGACAGCAAGTTGGGTGGAGCGACGGCTAGCTCAACTATATTTAACGTTTCTCTCTTTAAAAGTTTGCGATGGACCCTTATGTGATGTAATGGGAACTGTAGTTTGTGGGTGTTAACAGTTTTCTCTCTGCACTGTGTCTGGGCAGAGAGGGAAACTTGTCATGAGTATAACAGCCTCATTGTGTTGCGCCGCAGCGGGTGGATCTGTCTGACCTCCACTGGGCACAGTTTGCAGAGCAGTTTTCATTACCGCCACTGGCTGCAGAACCCAGCCCCGGCATCACGACCCCGACAAATCGCTGCCTCCCCCTCATTTTTCCCCCCTCTTTTTTTTTATTTTTTATTTAGGATATATGTATTTTGGAGACAGCAGAGATATCTTGGGAATCCTTCCCACTTGCCTGTTGAAATTGTCTTGGCTCACTGCCCGCCAGTCAAAAAACACGATTGCTACCGTGCCTGGGCTGAACGACCTGTTTCAGGACGCATTATCAGTCTTCAAGGAAAGCTTGAAGACTGAGCTTCAAGGAAACAAGACACGTGTTCAGAAATGCCCCTCTGTGGAAGACAGAAAAAGAGGAGAAGAAGGAAAAGAAGGCAGGGCGAGGCTTTATATGGACCCTGCAGGGCTGATGATTTGGAAACTAAAGCCATTCTGTCCGTCCCCCCCCCCACAGCACAAACAAACACAATCATAGATGAGGAGGAGTCCTGTCCAGAAAATAGATCTCTGGCTTTTCTCATGAGAGCTGTGGCTCAGGCAAGCCTCTAAAATGCAAAATAAAATAAAAAAGGAGAGAAAAGAGAACGGCTGAGCCAAACCCTGGAAGTATTTGTGATTATAGGTCATGTGATTTCATCCTCTAACCCCATTCACTATTTTTCTGTATCACCCCCCAATCCCTCTGCACAAAAACGAATGGTCCAATCATCATCTAATACACATCTGCACGAGCCATGTGTGCATTTGGTTCTGTTTATTGAACCTCTGATTAACATTCCTGGGCGTCATTAAGCCTCGCGTGTACGCTTGGCAAAGGGCAGGGACACACTTCCCCACCCCACAGCCATACCATAACAAAGCAGTCCTGCCACATCATGTGCCGGAACGCTGCCCAGACACCCACGCTGGCTCAACCCCGCGCGCAGGCTGAACATCTGTCCGACTGTCCAGCTGCGTACAGTAACAAGGGCAGTTGCTTGCGCATTACTCTGTCCTCATTTTCGGTCACTTATCCAGATTTCTGTAAGCGATGGCTGCCCACACCTCAATGTGCTTTCAATTTAGGGCGCAATTTGAGAATTTGTTCAAATTAGTCTGTCAGGGAGGGACCGTGGACTGTTTGCTTTATCGCACCCATGTAGGTCGGTTTTGATACCACATGGGCTGAAAGCAGAGCGGAGCAACAAACCTCAGACAGCCAGAGACCGGGCTCTCTGACACACACGGATGCACGGGCAAAGAGAGAAGTGGGACAAGACAGGCAGGAATACAAAAGAAAACGGACAACCGGGGGCTGATTTACCTCAGATCAGAGGAAACATAAGCTCTGAGGCTGAAAAGACCAATACATCCCTTACAGATAATTGACATGGTAGTTATTTTAGGAAATGAACAGGACGTTTTGAACATGAGAAAGAGCTATAAGGTGAATGTATTAAATAATCATTTTTTGTGTGTGTGTGGAAATGATTTGAGATGAATATGATTGAGTGCAGTTGGAGAATAGCAATAGTTCTGTTTCCCAGCTGTCGCCATTGCTTGTGTGCCTGGATGGATTTACAGCGAGGGAGTCAAGACTCAGAGGGAGAGGGAGAGTGATAAGTCTGGGCTTCTGCGCTGCTGCTGCTGCTGCTCGCTTCAGAGTGGGGGGACATTCTCGAGCCCTCAATAGTTTATACAGACCATAAACATCTGGGCTCGCAGGCTGAGTAGGGGAAAAAGGAGGTCTGGAGAGCTCACTCTCCCCCTCTCCCATTTCTCCCCTCACAACATTTTTATTGAGCTCCCTTTGCATTAGTTCTTTCTATTGGCAGATTATCACTGGTGCAGAGGGGCTCAACGGCCTGGCCCTGTGCCCTTTACTGTTAGCTGTCTGCTGTTAGCCACCATTACGAAGCAGTCTGCGGCTGCTCACTTGACTGCTGGGACTCAGACACTTAGTAATGACAGGAATTTATGTGCATGTCGTATTAGCATAAGTGGACGATAGACACAGGTCATCAGCAGATGCTTTTTCATCTGAATGTTGAGATTCCTTTAATTTATGCTAAAATATTGGTGCGAGATTCCTGTAAATATTATTTTTTTCTTTGAGACTAACTTTTGGAATGAAAAGTTAATTCTCCCACCAAAACCTGTTTGCCACATAATAGAGTTGGGTAACAAAGAATCTTTGCCCAGGCCGCAAGGGACAAGAATTCAATTGAGTGGAATTTGTTCATGGTAAGCCCAGATAATACATCTGCTAAGGGGCTCTGTGTACAGATCTTCATGAAATGAGTCATAAAGATGTATCATCAAACTTGGAAAAACATTTGTCCAGCTTTTCTTAGATGAAATAATCACCTCAAAGAATTCATTTAAAAGGTGCCCAGGGGCCCAAAGTCCAGTGGATGTACAGATAGTGTATACCAGCATATGATTTAAACGGAATTGGATCATTTGTCTATGAAAATGTGTTGGCTGAATTACACACAAAAAACAAATTATACTAGACATACTGCATTATGCAAAATAATACAACATTTTACAGGCCCAACTCATGAAAACCAGCCCATGAAGAAAATGAATTAAGTAGGATAGAAATTGATCAAACATGGGAAAAAACAAATACACAAACATAAAAAAATGAAAAGGTTTTGACTTGTGTTTAATTGTTGCTGTGGAAACAAACTAATAATTCACTCACATTTATGTGCTGTTATTGTCTGCAATCACCCTGATTTGCCTGGGATTTAGAGCCAAAAAACCATGGGCAAGTAGCTTTTATTTTCTTTAATATTTTCAATTGTCCAGTGGCCCCATCAGGAAATCTCAGCCACTCTCTAATGGATGATCCACTTGTCTTTGACCTCTGCGGCGAGCTGATGTGAGAAGCAAAGTTATTCAGTGATCGTGATCATTAGTCTCTCATAAGCCAGCTCTAATCTAAAGGTCTCCCCCGATGCCTCAACATTAAAAGGTCACTAAATTGTTTCATAGATATAGACATGAAGTCAGTTAGCTTTGTATGCCTTCTAGAGTAAGAACTCAACCCACCTCAACTTCAGTGTGCTGTTTGGATTTCGCCCTGATCTTCAACAACAAAAAAGGGAGATATATTTTGGGGACAATCCTCTCTTCTATTAGATATCCAGAGATGTGTAGACTATAGAAGGTATTCTAGTGGTAGGTAGATCGTGACCTGACTGTATATGACTTAAGTTTAAGGTGTAACATTGTGGTCTAGCAGCCTGAACTATGGGTCCAGTATGGTTAAGGTGCGAAAATACCAGTGACTAATAACAGAAGTATTTACTGGGTGATTTAAATTCTCTGAAACTCCACACTGGGGATCTTTCCAACACTGAAAGTGACTGTGCTGCAGATTTCTGTAACTTTCCAAAATGGCCAATCTGAAAGTCCCTCAGACTATATTAAGTCATTATCCAGATGTGCGAAGGTGAGAAAAGAAGCAGAGTTCAGCAATTTGCTATAGCTGTTGCTGGTATTTTTTTTTTTACAATTATGAATGCTTTCCAAGAGGGTCTGCTCTGAAAGTGTGCATCATAATGCAATAAACACTTCTGCTTTCCAACACGTGAAAACACATCACGCACTGTATTTTCACAAACTCCCCACTCTTTGAGGTTAAAGTTGGTCAGGACTGTGTTTTCTGTCGGCTATGGATCGGGTTTACTCTCTGTGTCAAGTTCCCTCTCATTGTGCATCTATCTGACTATCATGGGCTCTAAACTTGACTAACGTCAGTCCACATCTGTCTAGTTTCGGCCCAGAAACTGTCATTTCTCTGCATAATAACTTCAGCTTGGAGGAAAGTAATGCGGTGGGCTGTGAGTCACATTTGAATTTCATATTTATGCCCAGTCACAGATCAGTATTTTATACCCTTTTTTTCCCCCCTCAACTCCACCTAATCATTGAGCTCAAAGCTCAGAGGCCCATTATAGGCATATGAAAAAGTTCAAACAAGAGATTTTATCAAGTAATCATGATATTAGTTTTGTTTTCCATTTTTCTGTTTAATTTTTCATTGCCAGTACAGCTTGGCACCAAATACTGGCAGCATGGTATAGCCCTGTAATGCCATCAAGTGAGTAGCGGGGCATGTATTTTGAAGCCATTTTTTCCCATTTACATCCTTCATTTTTGGGAGGCAGAATCTGCCCGTTGTGTCAATCGTCACTGAAAAGCAGCCACATCCTGAGTTATAAATAAATACAAGCTTTTACAGAAACTGAGTTGGATTAAAATTCAGCTCCTTTACGATTGCGTTAAATGTGGAAATTAACCTTGGTGACCAAAACCAATTTTGTTGCTGGTTGTAAACATTTTTATTCCTGCTGTAAAGCTGGGAATTTATTTTGGAGCCACCTTGGAGTGACAATACCACAGTTTTTGGCACATCGCACTTGGATTCATTTGGAGGTTGCAGCTTTTTCAGGCTTGCTGGAGACCCAGTCGAAATTAGGAACATTGGCTTGTTCTATATGGGCCCAAATGTTTTCCAAGTTTTGGATGTCAATTTAGCTTTTGCTGATCTAATATGGTTACTGTTTCAAAGAGATGTTATACCTTTTGTGAGGAAAAAATCCATTGAATCAATTTTTGTGGAGTGGAAAAAATATTTTTTCTAGGTCTTAAAGAAAACTCTCAGTTTAATCGTATAAAACTGTTCCAAAAACAGGTGGTGGGAGCTGTGGGAGAAGGCCTTTGGACCTTTATTGTGTGACATTAAACCGATAAATAGGCAAAAAATCTAAAACTGGGTGCTTATCAGTTTGTTGAGGAAACTCAGATGTCCCGTGTTAAGCAAATGCAATCACATAGCTTCGCAGATGAATCAGAAGGGGATCCAGTATTATGCCCTGACAAATATCTGTCAGTTTTATGGGCACGTGAAATGATGGGACGCAGCTTTAAAGAGAGCCAACAGTCATAGGGAGGAGAGAAAGAAAACTGTTTGTGGATGTTATGTAATCTAACAGACTCTAAGCAGATGTGACAAGAGAGTCAAAGGGAGAGTGAGGGTCTTAAAAGCTGAACACTAGCCAGTCCTCCCACTGTGCTGTCAGATTACCAGGACGTGTTTGTTTTCTGAGAGAGGAAGAAGCCATCCAAACAAATAGCCAGCACGGCTTGCCTCCGCCGAGCAGTCAGCTGTGGTCTCTGTCTCATTCACTCTCACTCTCTGCTGTGCAGCAGTCCCGAATTTCTCTGTGGGATGGTTTTGAGGTTTTCTCTGCAATGCTGCCTGTTTGCCTGTCTGGGTCAGCCCACATATGTGGCACACAGTAGGAAAAGGGTTAACAGCCCCTTCCTCCTCCCTTCTCCTCCCCGTCTGTTCATCTTTCTCTTACATGTTCTCCCTCATTCCTGAGACAGTGCTTTGGTGGCACGTTTTGCTTACACTCCGCGTGTGGAATTATTTTTGTACGGAGAGCTGCGTTTGATTGCTGTGCAGGGACCCTTCCTCATACAATGGCGCCCCTGTTCTCAGGCCCCCAGCCTTCTAAACTAGACCCAGAGCCTTGGGGGTGCCACGGAGTAGGTAAAACTAGGAGGGGTGGGGTGTTGGGAGGTTAGAATACATTTGTAGAGCACCCCGCTCTTCCACCTCTCCCAGCCACCCCCTAAGAAGAAAAAACAGACTTCTACTTTGCCAGCATGGGCCCCACTATAGTTAGAACTGGGTGTTAGGTTGAAAAAAATGAAATAAAGAATCAAAAGAAAAACCTGCATTTAATATCACAAAGCATCCCAAACCCCCATGATTTTTATTTCACTTTGTATATATACATTTCTTCCTAATTGTTCCATTAAAAAAAAGGTGTACTCCCCACTCAGCAGTCTGAGTGCTAAATCTTCTCTACAGTCTCTGTGTAGCAACTGCTCTTGTGTTTTCTCTGTGCATTTTTGGGTCTGTTTTTCCACTCGCTGATTTATGCCTCGGGGCAGCTAAAATTAAGAGAGCATTTTGGTGCCGCCCAGGGTGCCTGTGTAAGTAGAGGAATGCAGTGCAGAGTTCTGCACCATAAGGTGAAATGAATAGGCAGCCATATGAGGACTCTCGCCTCCCAGGAGTGGCACTTGGACTGAGAGCTCTGAGAGGCTCCATAATTTACCCAGCATTCAGAGGATCATGTGCGTTCTGTCATAGCTTTTTCATTTTCTTTTCTTTCTTTTTTTACGACTACAAGTTGCTATAATTTTCTTTTCTATTATTGTCAAATACAAAACAAGGAGAAGGCGTTCTAGTTTGATAGTAAATGGAGCTGAGCGTTATGCTGCCACCTGCTGGCTGCTGTTAAACCCTGAGAGCTTTTGTGCTCTTGGGTTATTTTAAATTCCAGCTTCCTTTCAAGAAAATGCATCAGGAATAAAACCCTCATTCTTAAATATCACTTTTTGATGTTGCTCTCATTCACTTTCAACACGCAGTCCTTCAATCCATTGATAATTATTCATGAACTGCCACAGAAATTTCACTCAGCGCTCTTTTGTCTCATGGCAGGTAGCTCATCATTATCCTACAACACGCCATCTCACACGGACCCATCTCCACGCCTGGCTGCCAAAGAGGGTAGGAACACTTTCAGCTGCCAAATTGCATATTGAGTCCATGTACCAGGGAGGGGGGAGGGGGGGGAATTAAAGGGTCTGTTATGAAAATGTTAAAAATAGAAGTTCTGCTAACAATACCACTCACTTTCAGATTTGAAAATAAAAACAAACCCGCACAAAAGCCCCCAGCACACTTCAGAATAGAGATCACCCGCCAATCTGAGCATGTGCGCTCGCTGATTGCAGCAGACAAAGATCTGGGCAGGTGCAGCTTTTGTGCAGATGAAATGATATGCTGCAGCAGCAGATTGAGCCATTCAGGACAGCTACCTGAACACCGTGACAACACTGAGCCGCTCACAGAATGGAGGCACATAAACAGCCAAACAAAAAACGGCGCGCCTGCGATTTTTGTTTTTTTTCCATAGAGGCAGGGGCACGAAAAAGACTTCACATGTGGTGATTATAGACAAGAAAAGATGTGAACGAGGCTGTTCACTGGAGGAGCAGGCATTACAGACAGGTGGTTGGGCAACAATGTGCACAATAAACATGGCAGGCAAGTGTAGCAGGGTACCTCGGACCAGAGTGGAGTGGATGGTTTTTAATAGAGTGACACAACAGCACGGGGCAGGAAGCCAGGCGGTATTCAAAATACATTGAACATTTACATTCACATTTTTATTATGTGCACTCATGGAAACAGACACATTTTTTTTTAAGTGGCAATGGCAAAACTAAATAATTTGAGGTGGAAAATGTGCAGGGGTCTAACATGGAAAGCGATCACATGAGACTTTGTGGTAATAATTCTCTGAAAAAGTTTTTTTTTTTTACCTTAAACAAGCTCATTGCATTGTACGTTTTGTTTTCTGAGCAAACATCTTTTAAACAACCTGTAAGAATGAGCTTTTTCCTTTTGTAATTAAGAAATTAAAGAAATAACTAAACATAGCAGCCTCCCATCTGCTGCTTGAATTAGCATTTTATGTTGATGATAAAGGAGGAATTGTCATCAAAAACATTTCCACAAGTCTCTCCAAGAACAATGCTAGCTGCAGCACAGGATGACTGTCCCTTTCCTCTTGATACCTTTTCACTTTAAAAACCTTTTTTTTTTTTTGTGCTGACACGACTCGAACAGGCAGAGACTGGGTACGTGTGAAAAAAAAGGGAAAAGCATCCTTTACGTTGGCTATATGGTGTCACCACCAGAGGAGAGAGAACGGACTGGAATAACAGTGATAGGCTGGCCGACAGGATGAGAGGCCCTATCAAGGCAGCAACAGAGGAAATACTCGTTCTGATAAGTGTCAGAGAATGTCCTCTGTCTGCGTCTCTATCTTCATCAGTGGTGAGAGTTAGCAGGGCCGGGACTCGTTCTCGCCCAGTTTCAAACTAATAGACCTATGGGCAGGCCAGATAAGATTCTGCTCGGTCACCCCCCGACCCCCTTCTTCCTGGTTCTCAGCACCAGGTATTTGGACTGGCAGCAGTAGAGGGTCACTCCCTCCAAGAGCATTTCCCCTTACACAAGAGGTGATTTCTATAATGGGCTCTTGTAACACCGACTCTGCCTGTAGTGGTGGAAGCTCAGAGCAGGAAGAGGAGTTTTATCCCCAAGATGCAAATTTTAGGATATACAACCGCATTGTCAGTCTGATGTCCATCCAATTTGCAGCTAATCGCCCTGAGATTAATCAATCATACTAAATGTTACCAAAAAACAAACAGTACAACAAAGAGTTAACACTTTTGAGTGAAAGCTGGGAGTTTGTTACTCAACAATAAAAGGTGTCTCGCTTGGGGAGAAGCCTTTATCAGCGAATCCGCAGATCAGGACTGCCAGATGTTCAAGTTCATATTGGCCTTTTTCGAGAACAGTCAAATACCATACAGGCTCTTTGGGGTAGAATAAGCACGAGCATACGGCAGGAGACAACCCCTTAATCTGCTCCAGACTCTGTGGTGTAAAATGCAATGTTATGAATAAAAGAGCATATAAAACACGGAATGCGGCAGCTATGAAAGGGTGTGTGTGTGTGTGTGTGTGTGTCTGCGTGTGTGTGGGGGGTGGGGGTCTCTGTGTGTGTCTGAGGTCTCTGTCTACTTTTTGTCCCCTGTGGACAGAAGTGTGTGTGTGTGGGGGGGGGTTTCTGGATGCCTTGGTACAGCCTGTGTTACAGTATGTATTCACATTTATTTTGAGTGAATATAGTGTTTTTCTTGAGTTTTAAAGTGACCAACTCCTGTGGTGCACCTTTTTTTGCAGTTTTCTGATCAGTGCATGAGGTAAAGATGAAAGGAAAAGCAGCTCTGCATTGGTCGTTGTGTGATTAATATCTTATTCATCAATTACTTTATCTAAACATGTCTCCGGGATGGTTGTTTATGCCACCCGGCTGTAAATCCTCTCCTTTATGGCCATCATTCTCCTCTTCTTATGGCTGTGGCCTTCACAGATGGCATTTAAAGCACCTGTATTACAGGCATTTAAAAAGTTTACCCCGTCTAGGTCTCTCTCCTTGGCCCAGGTCCTGGATTAAAAGCCGTCAGCAGCTCGCCTCCCTCTCTCTGTCTCACCCTCTCTTTTTCTCCCACTCCATCTTCCTTTTCCTTTCCCCTACTCTCTCCGTCTCTCGCCCCAGTCTTGTTTTGACTAACTGGTCCGCAGTCGAAGTCTCCCTGGAGCGTGCACCACACCCCAGACCAGAGTGGAAACTGGCTCAAGTCGCAGTCAGAGCAAGGCCTGGAAAAATGGAGGCGGGAGGAGGGGGGGGGGGGTGCAGGGTGGGGATGAGGCGGCTCTCACTGCCAAATTATTCGTCCTTGTATTTACACGGCTGCCCATCGACGGGTACCCTCAAACACTTTGGGGTTTTTTTACACCTCATATTATAGCTTCTGAAATTTCTTGTCGGTAATAAGCCAGAAATAAAGAATCAGAATCTCATATGTGGGAAATGCTTTAAGTGGGCATGTCGGGATTGTTGGCTTTATGTCTTACTTCTTGTGTTTTGGAGGGTCTTTCCCATTTAGCAGCACTTTTTTTTTTACCTCCTCCTGCCCATACCAGACAGTAGCTGGGTTTGCTGCTGCTGTTTTCTTTTCAAATTCCAAAGTTGTGTTTTTGTCTGACTCAGGATTTTTGTGTGTGTGTCATTACGTTTCTCCTTTTTTGCTTTTTCTCCTCTTTTCCTTTCAAACTCTTTCCCTCCCTCATTCTGTCCGTCTCCTCGTATGCCTGCAGTTCCTTCACCTCTCCGATCACCTCTCTGTCTTCTGCCTCTCCCCCACCATCTCCTAACCCCGCTCCGCAAGTAGCCCCTAGTCTTTTTTTCGGGGTGGTGGGGAGTATTTGGTGGGGGGGGGGTGAGGCTTGGGAGGGGGGCTGGCAGTGAGCAGAGGGGAAAAAAGGGCCAGTAAAACAAAAGAGAGGTTGTCTGCAGGCAAAGCAGGCAGGAAACGCAAGTCTCCCAGGACTCTCCCCCAGTCGCTGCTCCTTGGCTATCCTGCGGCCCACACCAGATTGAACCTGACAGGCCCTCTGAGCCACAGCAGCCCGCTCGTTTTTTTGTCCCCCCTCTCCCTCTTTTTCTTTTTTTATCTCTATTTCACCACCGTTTCTTCCAGTTGTTTGATCGTGTTCCTTTTTTTATTGTAAATTTACATCCTGCTTTTTTATTTTATGAATGGGCTATCATCTATACTGACTTCCACTATTTCCTCGCTCAGTGAATTCCTCTACAGAGTCTCAAACAACGAGAGCAATCTCCTTTATCAGCAGGTATTATAGGAATGACCCTGTAGCAGTGGTGTCTTAAAGCTTTAAAGGTTAGAATCCTGAAGCGGCAGGACATTTTTCCATTAAAGAGCATTTCTTTTCAGCATCAGACAAGAAAACAGCTTTTGGAAGTTTAAGTTACACACTTGAAGTAGTTGATTACTTTAGGGATCAGAAGAAGCCAGTGTTCCATTCGCCACAAGGGGGCAGTATAACACAGTGCTTTTATATGTCTGGTCAAGAGGAGCTGTTGACAAATTTATGTAAGCTGGTGTAACCTCAGAGGTCACATTGGTCAAAATTACACATACAGACCAAATGTGCTGTGGCAATTAAGGCAATCACCATCCGCTTCCAGGCACGTAAGAATATAGCTGAGAATTTGTTTTACCGTTACATGAATAGACATAACTTTAAGTCTAAAGATTTTTTTCCTGTATGAGAAAATGAATAGTGTCACAATTATTCTTTGTTCGATTGAACCGGCCAGTTAGATAAATTATACAAATTCATCAGTCTATATCAGTTTAACTAACGGAGACAAGTCAATTAAAGTCTAATAAAATTATGAATTCAGATTTTCTTTGGTCTATATTTTCCAAAAATCTTCTCAGTTTCAATATATATATATGTATATATACACATATAATAGGCCCAGTGCTATTCATTACCCAAAACCAAGCTTTGTGTTTATTTAATTTATGCGGTTTAGGATGTTTTTTAATGTATACCCTGGACATGCATTCAAAAAACATCCTGGGGCTAAAAAGGGCCCATAACTGGCTGAATTTTTTAGAAGTAGTAAAGAAGACTAACAAGTTATATATTTCTGGACAAAGCTGATGTTGTTTGTGTGACTTATCATCTTTAGTTCTGCTTCTTTAAAAGTTTGGATGCTGTTGAAAGAGGAGAATAAAAAACAATTAAGTGATCGTGAAACAAAATAGAATTTTCAACAGAACTTAAAAAACATGTCAACGTTGAAAGTGAAACAATATGATGTGACATTGAAATGTCACAGTTTGGATGGGATAATGTTTACCTCTCTTTGGTGCACCCTCTGTTTTATACAACTCAACATTTTTGAGGACTGAGGAGACCAGTTTTCTGCACCCTTGTAAGACGAATGCATTCCTATTTTTATCAGAGTAGGGATTCTAGCAGTGGTGCAGATAGTGATGTTTCTGGATCAGGTTCACAGTAGGATTTTTTCATGAAATGATTAAACTTTTTATTTCAGACATTTCATTTGTCCTCAGACAAAGAAATCTGTAAATACTCCAGAGTTCATGCAGTCATTTTAATGACAGATTCACATATATTTCTACAACACAGCGCTACTCAATCATCAGCATCTAGTAGCAGTTGGTGGTTGTGTCTATAGTTCTGGTTGATTATGGATTATTCAAGGTCTGTACAGTTTAACACTGAGGTGGATTTTTCAGAATTTGATATTTCAAAAGCCCATTTTTCCCTCTGGTTTTAAAACGTCTGCTCTTCTTTACTTTTTTTAACACTCCGAGGTGCTCTTCATTTGCAACCTGTTCTTCCCGCTGATTCTTTTTAATATCACTTTCTTTTCCAGCCTTACTCTGACACTTACCCGATTGGCAGATGCCCCTGTATTCCACATGAGCTGATATTCAACATGACACGATAAAAGGTTTCCATCTCAGCAAATGATATGGTTTCGATGGTATATTGTCAGCTAGATACTGGTATATGATATTTGTTAATAATCTTTTTTTTACATTTTCTAAATCCTTACCTCTTTATTGGAATTGGAAATATATGTTGTGTCTCCTTCATGAAAACCTACAAACCTATAAAATGATTGTGTTGTTCGAAGCAACGAGGCCTCAGGGTTGTATGAAAGCCGTTTGGGCTGGGAGGTGGGGGAGGTCAAAGAGTGGATTTTTTTCTGCATGCACTGTCTCTGTGCTTGTTCGTTAATTTGCATCAATCTTTCTATTTGTGGTCAGGGTGTTGCAAGCTTCTCAGGCAACTTCACTCTCGGTCACAGATTGTGCCACATGTATTTTAACCACCACAGTGAGCCAGACTAAACCACAGGACCATGTCCAGATATCCTGTTTAGAACATATTTAACCATTTTCAATTGATTTATTGATGTTATTTGACACTGGCCTCAGTGCTAACCATCTGTTTCTTTCGCACAGTTGCAAACTTGGTATTAGTACATATACAGTGAAATGAGACACTGTAAACACCTTACTGCGGCTCAAAACCGCAGAAATATTCATGTGAAAGCTGGGTATCTGCCTTGGGGCTGCAGAGGGATCCGGGGTTATACTTACAGCTGATAGATCAGCCTTTATCTGCATGTTACTCTCATATTAGATGTTTTGGTTGAATGAAGTAGCACTAGTGCTGCACATGCAACATATATTATTAGTTCTAATTATCTTATCAATATGTTGTGACTCTAATGGTGATGAATAGGTTTACATCAATATTTTTTAAAGTTGTGCATAGTCATTGTTCTCGTCATGGTAGTGGTCCAGGAAAATGTTGCAATCGTTAGTGTTTGGTTGGATCTCTTGTTTGGATGTTAAACCGTTTTGACATCTTGTGATAAATGTTCTTCGTTGAAAACTTGTGTGCTTTCAGCCGTCTAACTTCGCCTGGAGTTATTTTTCTAGGATTATATTGTACATTATTTTTCCACCTAATTCAATCAAGCCAACATGTTCACTCTGGGTCATTTTGACCAGTATTTTCTGCCATCAAAGTGCATCAACTTGCATTATTCACTTATTTTTCCTAAGAAAGGAACTATATTAAATTTGTGTAAATTGACAACTCTGCGTTCATGATTTCTTTTGTCAGACCCTTCATATGACGCTGTACGGCGGACGGGGTGGTCCAACAACATGCACAGTGGCAAAGGTGAGGATTATAAAATGATCAAAGATCTATTTCTGTCTGTATTATCGATGAACGGCTGTAACACTGTGAGAAAGGAAATTAGATTTTTTACATTGCTTATAGCACAGGCACAGGCATCTCTGTCCATTCCAGTATAGTTCAAAAACTCAAATGAGTGCCAAAAAGTACAATCCTACAGTCAGTGGGCAGAGTCAGACGTGTGGGAGACTTGTAAAGATTACCCAGACAAAAGAAGTCAGTCCAGCTACTGCCTTGTTTAGTTTGTACCTCTGCTGGGCTGGCATGCTTTTACAATGTGTCATTTGGTTACCTCTGGCCACCCGATTGATGTTTTCCTTTCATTCTTTACTTTGTGTCTGCAGGCTCACCAGTAGTTAATCAGAATGTGACCAAGTCCACTGAGCAGCCAAGAGCTCAACCAGGTAACGGCTTTCTTGAGGTTTTTCCTACTTTTCATGTTGACCTCAGCACAGATGGTCACATTTAGAATGCTCCCCAAAGCCTTTGTAAGACATGATAATCCATTTTGAAGGTTATGAAAATCTTCTAAATTTTCATAACCTTCTATAAAGGTTTTTGCTAATCATTTGAGAATCAAAATGTATTTCAACCTTACAGTTTTTGCATCAGAAACAGTTTCCATATGTTATTTGACTAGGTCTTCGTTAGATTAGACTTTTTACCAGTGTCCACATTTTGATTTTATAATATACAGTCTTTTTTTCTATCTTTTAAATATTAGAAGTTGAATGTTCAAAATATCAACTATTATCACTTATTTGTATTCATGGGAAATTCCCTTGTTTTATAGTCTAAAAGTTTACACAACAGTAGCTCATTTTGGTTTTTGGCAGATGGGAAAAGTTTGTAGTCTTTACAGTTTTCTAAAAAAAGACAAATTTGAGAACCTAATGGAGCCCTGACGGTCTCGGCAAAACTGCACAGCATTTTTCCAAAAACGTGTGCATTATTGAGCAAACTGAGATTGTGTAATCAAATATCATGTGTGGTACTCAACTATAAAAAAAATAGATTAAGTGATTAAAGGTGTGTTGACATTTAGTCAAATTCCCACTACAGTAGTTCAATTTTAAAAATTTGAAAAGGCAAATATAAACAACAATTCGATCTATTTTTACCAAAGACCACACAAACCATCCAGCTTAGAAATCATTCATTTTTCAAAAATCTCTCATATCTGCAATCTTCTTTAAATGTAAATCATAGAGACCAATTTGCAACTGAATGGAAACTTGCAGTCTCCCACCATGGCAAAGTATTTTCTAACTCTATCTCTTATCCAAGCAGTATGTACACTAACATGTTCCTGTCCTCCACAGATCCTTACCAGATTCTGGGCCCCACTAGTAGTCGCCTAGCCAACCCAGGTCAGACTCAGTGCTGTGCCATAATACATCTATTTGTGTGCTCTTCTGGTGGAGAACTCATTTGCGCCTGACAGCATTTTTTAAATGTTTTATTGGTGTGAACCACCAGGTTCGGGTCAGATCCAGCTGTGGCAGTTCCTGCTGGAGCTCCTGTCTGACAGCGCCAACGCGGGCTGCATCACTTGGGAGGGAACGAACGGCGAGTTCAAGATGACGGATCCCGACGAGGTGGCGCGGCGCTGGGGCGAGCGCAAGAGCAAGCCCAACATGAACTACGACAAGCTGAGCCGCGCGCTGCGCTACTACTACGACAAGAACATCATGACCAAGGTGCACGGCAAACGCTACGCCTACAAGTTCGACTTTCACGGCATTGCCCAGGCGCTGCAGCCGCACCCCACTGAGTCCTCTATGTACAAGTACCCCTCGGACCTAGCCTACGTGCCTTCCTACCACGCCCACCAGCAGAAGGTCAACTTTGTATCTCCACACCCCCCGTCTATGCCCGTCACCTCCTCCAATTTCTTTGGACCCACTGCTCAGTACTGGAGCTCGCCCACCGCGGGCATCTACCCCAACCCAAACGTACCCCGCCATCCCAACACCCACGTGCCATCCCACCTGGGTAGTTATTATTAAAAAACAACTCTCCCCGACCTTGCACCAGCCTAAAAAAAAAATCCTACCCTTCCCCCCTCCAACAAAATCCACGATTGCTGACCTGCACTCCTTATAATCCCAAACCAATGAAGACAGAGTTGGAGACATGTAGTACTCCTGAATGAAGGATGATTCAATTGACATTTTGGTTTTTTTGTTTATTTGTATGTGTGTAAAATTTTATAAACAACTGGATGCTATGGTCCAAATGGAATACTACTTATCTTTTCAAGACTAGCAACTGTTTGTTTATGTTTTACGGATGCACATCTGAGTTTCCTGTGCCTTTCTTTCCAAATCTCCTGAAAGATTCACCTACAGGCCAGTAGGTGCCATTTTCTAAACAAAGCCTAGATACAGGAGACTGGAATCTGTCTGCCACCCCATCATGCTACAGTACCAGACATGGGCCTGTTTCTTATGGGTCTCAATCTACATCCTTCTCAGTACAAGATATACATTTCTCTTGACTCGTCTCGTTTGCCCTTGCCGTTCGTTCACTGCCTCGCCGGGGTTTCTTCCACTGCCTGCTTGTCTGCTCGTCCGCCTCTTTTTTTTATTTGGTTTTGTTTATTTGAGTGTATGTGTGTGGAGAGTCCACTGGAATTCGGTGGACGAGGAGGAGCTCTCGCGAGATCACGTTTCTCAGCACTGAATGAAATGTAGCGACTGGAATATGCCGCTCGATATGCCATTTAATTTATCCTCCAAACTGGAAGGCTCGAGAAGAGTTAAATGCCGCAGAAGGAAGCGCTGTATGTTTTGCTGACCTGGGTCAATGAGTTGCTTTGGAAGGGTTGCCTGTGTATTTTCTGATGGAGATTATGGGTGGTGCGTGCTGTGGGGTTGAGCCAATTGTGCTGCGGAAGCTGAGTCGAGAAAATAACCGCCGCCATTTGCAGCAACAGCTCAGCCCGGGTCAGAGGTTTTGGGTGGGCCACACACCAGGCTGGTAAATGTTTGCCGTGTCGTTGCCTCTCAGTCATGCCATTTCCAGATGTTTGGTTGCTCAGCCACGTCAGTATTAATGTGAATGTCTCTGGGTTTGTGAAACACATGTAAGAGGTTATGCAAAAATCAAAATTTGTCAGATGTGGCTATTTTGTGAAAACATGCGCATGTACAAATTCCTTCACACTCGAAATCATGAATCGAAAAACATGACAGTGCCTTTATGTGTGATTATGTAGATGTGTTGATATTATCTGCAGTTTTCCTGTATGGATGTTATGTTGTTTTCAGACCCAAGTGTCTTGAGCATTCATCTAACTTTGATATGTGCTGAAAATCAAAGCTCTAACCCGCACAGAGTTAGTGCCATGCTTTAACTGCTGAATTACGCCACCTCTTGTCTGTTAGTTCAAGACGAGAAAGCACTAAGCAAAGTAATGATATCACCAAATATCTGACAATTTTTGATCTGTAAGTGCGCTCTGACACCAACAGCTGCCATAGTGTCTCTTCTCTCTTTTGTAGGCCAGTCAGGACCGCACGGGTCAGTACTGAGGAGTTGCTAAGCAGTAAGTGATGTTAAGAGACGGTCAAGTTGCATTTTCACCAGGGCTGGATCCTAGTAAGAGAGCAGCATGTTTGTTTTGAACGTTGGTTTCTCACTAATCTTGAAGCCCCACAAAATGCACAAATGTTGTGATTTCCTCATCATCATCACAGAGCATAATGTCGAAACATATCCATCACCGGTCAGGTGTTCAATGCTGTTCATATCAAAGTTTTTGCCTTGAGAGTGGACACTTGAAAATGAATTACTTGGAACTGAGTAGTTTATCCAAGAGCAAAACCAATGAAGTATGACAAGATGAAACAAAGAAATCCTCAGATTCGCAAACGCTGTGCGTTTGTCAGACCTATTTTTTATTATTTTATAAACATCTGTCAACTAGGCATTGAAGCAACTTACTGTATAAATTATGCAGAGTTATTTTCATATGTGACACAGTGTAAAAGTCGCGAGAATTAATACGAGTTGACCTCGGTCAAAAATGCAAACCTTTTAAGTCCAGTTCTGCTAAGTAGTTTGTTAAGCATTTGAAGCGTTTTTATATCTGTACATTTGGGCAATAACATTTTTGTTTCCTCATTGTTGTTATTATTTCTAAAATTCGGTTGTAACATCCTAAGCTCCTGAAAGTGTAAGATATATTTTCTTGTATTCCCAACACCACAAATGCCTGCTTGAATTGCAATCCAATAGATGGGGATTCCTCTACTCTGTATACAGCATGTGATAGTGATGGAAGGTTTCCAGTGTCACCCCCTCACCATGCCAGGAATTCATAGCTGGCCCTGTGGTTTTAAGAATTTCAGGTATCTTATGCTCAATGATATAAACAATGTTAATATTTACATCCAGCTCCTGTTTAAGATGTATGGCTTTAAAAGAACAAATTAAAAGGGAATATGTAATTTGTAGCATAAAGAAATTATTCTAATGTTCCCTCGATGTTCAAGTTTCATAAGCATCATCAGTGAGAAGGGATCTGTGCTACTTCATATATGCAATGTATTTTGGATATCAAATATATAAATATATATAAATATATATATATATTTGTGTGTATATCTTTACAATTAAACAATGTATTATTTTTATTCTCATTCCTGAAATGTATGAAGTCAAACATTTGAAAAAGAGCTTTTGTATAGGAAAAATGTGACAAAATAAATGTTTTTACCTCTTGCCTGCCTTTGGAGTCACCTCAGTCTCAGGACAGATGGAAACCAAGATCAAAAGAAGCCAGATTTGCTGAAGGTACAGCAGCGAGGCCCTGATAGCGACTGCCACATATACTCAATACTAATTTTTATGGAAGTCACATTGAAAAATCTCCATCATTTATACATTAAAAGTCTGTTATTTGTCGTTCGTATTTGTTTGCCTGAGGAGAAATGATGATATACATTTATGCCTGTGAAGATTCTTACGGGCAAACTGATTTTTCTCTATCTATAACAGCTGAGACAGTGATGGATCCCAGCAAGACATTGTACATGTAAAAAACTTCTTTTTCAGTCAGTAAACATACATGCAGTACTATTTGTTGGCAAAATCTCCTCCAGCCATCAAATATTTTCCATCTGACCCTAATTTGATGTAGGTCAGTATCCTGCTACACTAAAGCAGTTTGACACAGCTTCAACAGTGTACTCAATTCCGAGGCTTTTGTGCATGCTTTTCTTCCCTTTGACATTTTAATTGCTGGATAGCTGTCTTAGATGGGTGTAATTTTTAAATCTGCCTTGATGTTAATACCGGTATTTTCAGCAGGACAACAGACGCACCTGGCATAGAACAAGAAAAGTTATTTGCCTGGATGACAGCTTAATGTCATGAAGTTTCACTTTGCCACTGCAACAAAAGAAGGCTGAACCATGTTCACAGCCTTCTTTTCCAGTTCCAAATCGACATACAACGCCAAAGTCTATTTACACAACATGACAGCTGTGCCTATACCAGAATCTGCCTTTGCTGGTCAAAAGGATTAGGAAACAAAGAACCAATAAACCAATCAACGCCTAAAAATATTGTTTATTTAATGAAAATTGATTTGCATTTCTGTTTTTGAAGGTATGCAGCTGTTTTAAAATATATCTAGAGCTGTGATTTTCTTTAAAGTCCATGATGATGGTATGATGTTAAAGACTCATGGATCCAAAGCTGTTTATACACCCTAACCCTAACCCTAACCCTATTCCCTGATTTCCACATTCTTTCGTTGTCTTACAAATGTCAAATATGGCAAAAGGCATGTCACTTAAACTGCACCCACTGACTGCAGCGCCACACTGTACATCAGAGCACACATCTGGTGTTGAAAAACCAGTTGAACTTGTGTCACTTTAATCCCCACAGGCTATGAAAGGACAGGTCCTTCCAAATAATTTCTAATTCTTGATTTGGACATGGACGACAGACACGGTGAAATGCTGCTGTGTGTGCGTGTGTGTTTCAAATGCTTAAAGCATGTAGACTATTTGTGCTGTCTTTTAAATTAACGTATTTGTCAGTGACATAACCTTGTCAATCAGCAACATACTCAGAGACAGAGTCAACATAAGGCTGAACTCATATGCGGTTTATTAGAAAGGTCGCAGTGGGAGGTCCACCTTAGTGAAACCTGTTAAAGCCTCACGCCAGCATACAGTATGTGTATACAGTATGTGTTATTTCTCTAAATAAGTTTTGGTTTCATGTTCAGATCGCTAAATAAAGGACAGCATGCTCTTGGCTTTCATCTCACAACTACTTCCACTTTATCACATCAGCTTTTCTGTTTGCTTTCAAAACTTAACTTTGTTTATGGTTTAAGAAATGCTGGTGTTGGTATCATTCACTATGGTTCTCTGACCTTTTTGATAACTTCTGCTTATATGGCATATGCATGGAGAGGAATAATGACACAAACATTTTTTTATGCAAAAATAGCTTTTATTTTTAGTTGACTTTAGCCCTGAGAAAAGATTCATAAAAAAGCCTCTGCAAACATAATTCACTTACATACATACTCTGTCACATGCTGCATGCAGCAATATTAAGGATATCATAAATTCTTTGTTCTCAGACAATGTCTTGACTCAGAAGAAAAAACACAACTACTACACTTCCTGTTTGGAAAGACTGGCCCTGGAGCCCTGTCCTTTGCTGGCGCCTTCGTCCGAGAGTTTCAGGATATTGATTCAAGTCAAATGATCATTTTTGCTCAACAGAGTCTGCATAAAATATTGAACAAACACAATGATGTGATTTTTTTTGTATAATACTTGGGGGAACATTGTTTTGTTTCATGGTTTAAACAGTTTGATCAATCCAACATACATGTACTAAATAAAATGTTGAAAACTTGTGGGTGACAGGGAAGAGGTTTCCATTCTTGCGCGGAACTGATTTAAGATTACATGACCTGGCCTCTGCTTTGAAAAGAGGGTTTGGTAAGCACAATGAAAGATGTGGTTTTACATTACAAACATGTCATTCAGTCTAATGACTACAGTTGCTTATCTGTGTTGATCACAAAGGAGTAGCACATAGTTATTAGCGTTATGCCTGAATGCTACAAAAGGTGCTTGTTGCAGTTGGGTAACTCCCCTGGCTGCCTCTCAGCATATCTGTCCCAGAGGGGTTCATCACTCGGAGGGGTAAACTCAACCAGTCTCAGTTTTATTGCCTGCCAATGTCTCAAAAAGTAGTGAGAGTCGGAGGGGCTTCTATATCGATCACTTCAAAGCCCCGGTTGTCATTCCCATTTCTGGAGTGGTGATGATGACCCTTGATGTTGTGGTAACAGTAGGCACAGTGCGCAGTTGCCACCGGCACAACCTTGGAGAAGTTGGAGAAATCAACTCGGTACTTGCCCTCTTTGCTTCTGGAAATGATGGGCAGGAAGTTGTAGCCCCACATGATCTCCTGAGGAATGAAGGAGGTCCGCACTTGGCAGGAAGAGCTTGTGGACTCTGCCGTGCCATCTAAAAAGACCACCATTTCAAAGTCTTGTTTGTGCAGCGTGTCCACCGCCATCTCAAAGAAGGGGCTGTTCTTGTCGATGATGTGGTACAGAGTGAGAGGACACACAAAAAAGAGGTTGTCCTTCCCGGCGTCGATCACAAAGTCAATGTTCACCTGATCCATGATAATCGTCTCCCCTTCTGGGGTGATTGTGGTTCTCAGTAGCTTGCCATAGATCTGGCTTCCAATCATCAGAGTTTTCCGCAGGTTGGCTACTCTGATTGATAGGCAGAGGGTCCCATTTCTTGGACTAATGACAGCCATGTCACTAAATTGGATGGTTTTCGCCCTTTTTTTGGGTGAGGAGATCTTGGAGAGGATAACTCCACACATAAAGCAGTTGATAATTGCTCCAACCAGGCATTGGATGATGATGACCGCCACAGCACCCGGACAGAGGGGAGTGATCGCTCTCCCTCCATATCCGATCGTGGTCTGGGTTTCAATAGAGAAGAGAAAGGCTGTTGTGAGTCCTACAACATTGTCAACGCATGGGTTGTGATCTGAAGGGGGATTTTGCCATGTAAGATCTCCATTGCTTCGGGCAATCCAGTACCAGAGTAGGCCAAAAATGAACCAGCTGAGGGTGAAGGAGGCAATAAAGAAAAACAGGACAAATCGCCACCTGATCTCCACAAAAGTGGTCCAGAAGTCAGCCAGGAAGGCAAAATGTTTGCTGTATTTGACGTTTCCATATTCAATGTTACAGCGGCCATCTTTGGTCACAAGTCTGTTCCTCTGACGTCTTCTGTCTGCCAAATAGTCTTGGAGGCGTTTGTTGAATTGACCCATTGTTTCCTATAAGTTGCTGACCTGCAACATAAAAAAAAAAGAATTAGCATGCAAGCCAAATATTAACAAATAAATATTTTTAAATACAAGTGAAAGTCCATTCACAGGCTGTTTTTTAAGCTCCACTGTTCCACTGCAATTTTTAATAATTTCCACAAAAAAGATGAGCTTCAAATCCTCTGGGGGTATGACAGTCACACAAAACTTTGAACAAATAAGCCTAATCATTTTGAGATTTTGGTCCCCGTGCTTCAATGCAAAGATGGGTTTTATTTTGCCAGGCTTGAATACAGCTGTACTAAATGTGGCATTAAAATTATTTTAACAAGCTCAGCCAAAAAGGCAGCTGCCCATGGACATAACAATCTCAGGCTTTATTCAAACTTTGACTTTTCCATAGCGTGCTGCTTGATGGATGGTAACTGGCAGCGTTGGCGGTACCGAGGTTTCCAAACAAGTATGGCCTCTGTTCTTTCCAAGTCATGCAAACAACCATTTGGACCACATCATGCTTGTTAGCGAGTTTCAAGCAGGACAAAATGATCAGTGTGGTGAGTTTAGCTTTTTTTGTTTTTCATTCCAGGACTGAAAAACGTCACACTCACTGTCATTTGCAAAAAAACATATATAGACAGAAATAAAATGATCACACTCTGCAGATGGTTTTCAAGCCATTCTCTATTTCGGAAGTAAACTTTGTTGTTTGCTTTGTGGTAATTAAAACAACAGAATTTCGAAGCATTAACAGTGCACATAGAAAAATTAATTCAGGTATTCATGTGGGTTTATTGCATTTAAGATTAAATGCTTGAAATGATGCTTTGGATTGGGGAAAAAAAGCAGTAAGTAAGTGGGCATCTTGGAATACGGCGCCTGCAAAGACTTAAACGCAAATAAAGATTGATTTGTCGCCTCTGAATCATTGCAAAAACAAAGCAAACTCTGTTTCACTTCCAAACCCTTAAAGCGTGTTGGAAAAAATCTAATTCGGTCCTACTTACGTCTAAAAAAGGTGGTTAATGAAAAACCTTTCATTTATTAAACAGGAAATTGGGCCAAAAACGCAGCAGTGAGTGAAAAATATACCTTCGCTAATTAAGAATGCAAGTCGCCCCTAACTGTATGATGAAGTTTCTCATTAAACGCACCAGTTTCAGTCCTCAGCAGGCGTGAGTGCTTTTGATGAAATAAAACTTCTTTCTTTTTGCCGCCCTGTAGCATTCAGGTGTGCGTTAACACTACGTCAAGCAGGGACAGACATCAGCAGCAACCACAGAGAAGGCACTGTTTCTGTCTATTGATCGGGGGTGGGTTTTGAGGCTGTCTGAAGCCTATTCATTTTAAATGAGAAGCGTTCACAACAAGACGTTCAAAACAAATCCAGTGAGTGAATGTCTCAGAAAGTTCCATCAGTTATGCTCAAAGAAATAGAAAAGATGCCAAGAACTACTTCTCAGACTCTACAGGCCTAATTTACCATGTTAAAATGAAAGCTTCTGACACCATAATTAAAGGTGTGTGGAGTGTGAGTTTTTCTTTTTTTTACTAAAAAGATTAAACAACAAAAACAAAATGCAACATGGCTTAAGATGCATTTGAAAACCACATTATTAGACTTCTATAAAAGACCAAATCAGAGTTGTTTCGTCATAATACATCATGCCATGTTTGATAATAACCAAACTCAGCTTGTCGGCACATACACCTCACATAAGCTGTTAGGGAGGGTTGTAGTGGTGATAATTTCTTCTTTTGCAGCCACAACACTTGGACACCCTGCTGTCGCTGAGAGGACTATGAACTCTTATAATTTAGCCTATAGTCTATAGTTAAATATAAGGCCATCCAGTTGACAGTTAAATCTGGGTCATTCCACTGGGCAAACCTCAATCAACTGAGACACGTTGAGAAACTGGTAACTTTATACTTCATTATATAGTTATCAGTTACTGTTCACTTTCGAGTTATTCCACTTAGTACTTAAAGTGCTTACTTTTGGTCATCTACATTATTATTCCATCTACGCAAAGTGTCACATATTGTTTGTTTTTTTCATCTGTGAATGCATTTACCTTATTTTGATACTGGACGAAGACCAAATAATGTTAGAATCTTGGATATGAAAGTTGTCCCATTTTGATCATGTTGAAAATGAGAACACTAAACCTCACAAAAGAGAACACAAGTTTTAAAGTCTTCGTCAAATGTGCAAGCGTTCCTCATTTGCAATGGGAAACCCTTTCTGTGTGCATAAAATGTTGCCTTGCCCAATTACTCTGGAGTTGCGGAGGAAGCAAATGCCATTGTAAAAATAATTAGCAAAATGGTGGTGTATAGGTAAGAGCGTATGCTTACATTTTTAAAGAATAAAACTAATTAGTTGTTTGAACTCACCAAAAGTAAGAACTGTTCCCAAAACATCCAAAAAAATAGCAGTTGTCTTGGCCCGCCTTCTTTGCTGCTGTGTCTAGGTCTGTCCACCTCTTGCTGGATGCCTGTCACAAAAGCACCTGCGTGTATTTATACTGTCCTACCTCCTCGTGCCACACTCAGGTGATGGTAACACCCACCGGTCTTTCGGTCATCCCCCTACCCCTGCATAAACAACACAACCAATCCCGACCACATTAACGTATATTTTGCCCATAACAGCCTGGCAGAAAGGGACAACCTGACCTTTACCAGTGTCTACCAGTGGCCCGACAGTTGCTCTGGATTCAGAGTTGTATGTTTCTTGTCTAAATCAAATCTTTTGTGTTGCCGGGCTTAACGCAATGAAACCAGCCCAGCGATTGTTGACAGTGTAATGCAATGCCTTGGTGTCAAATGAACTTCATCTGCAAGCGCCCATTTCGGTTTGAGACAATGCATTTTTATATCAGGCGATTCACAATGTGTAGGGGCGATTTGAACAATGTTACAGCAGGTCAGAGGGTTTTGAAGATGCTACAACTCAGATTAATTTGTGTATATTTGTTTACTGGACCCAACCTTTGTTTCCAGGAGGATATACCATGGTTTTGTTTGTCAACCGTGCAGTGCTTTGCCCACAGATTCTGGACAGGAGGAGACATCAGACACAAATAAATCTTAGAGGATTGTCTGGAGCCAAATCACATAAAAAGCTGCAGATGTTTGGGTGCTGGGGGGAGGAAAAGTTGTGAATACTATTGGGAATCAATTTTCATTGACTTTTTCCCAAACAAAGAGTTAAAATGCTGCAGTCTTACCTCATACATAGAATATTTATAGTAGCCGCCGCATTACAAGACTCACCTTTGTTTTCTGGCATGGGTAAAGTAGATTGTAATCTGTTCTTGTCTGTCGATGCGATTCTTTTGTTTTTACTCCTTTCTTCTCAAACAAAGGGCAGACAACTAGCTACCAAAACGCATAACTACCCTGATTGCCGGGCAGGTTAAACAACTTAAGGGAATTAGGCTACTCTTCATCGATAGGTATGTATTATCGTGTCTTTATTTGTCAAAGAATACTGTGATGCTGGATGAAGAGTCTTTATCTTTTAAAATATTTGTCAATAAACATTGCAACCATGGCATATGGCACATAGTATTTGTGACTGTTTTTTTTGTTTTTTTATGGTTTACATGCTTTTTATTGTTTTTAAAATATGAAAAATACTGTGGCTTATTTAAATGTAGAAACTAACAAGTGAAATTCAATACAGACATTACAAATGGTATATTTGGCATTCTTGACAGCAGTTTACACTCAAATTATTTGTATTTTATTTAATTTTGCTGTCATGGTAAAATTGTGTGGCCACTCACTACTATGAGACAATAAACAGATATTTATACCAACCCTACCATTTCTCTGCTTTTTTCAGTATGACACGTTTGTGTGGTCCACACAAACATGTTAGGCGTTGTCGTAAGAAAGAATGGAAGTTTCTGGAAGCCTCACTTGAAGCCCCCAAATGTTCCAGTCGCAGTATCTGTCCACCAGTTTTAGGGCAAAGACAATAAAAGTTGTCTGTTGTGGTAACAAGGTGATAAGTACTTGAAAATTGCAAAAGGTAAAACAAAGCACACATATGCATGCAAAAAGTAGAAGAGGGACAAGAAAACCTTTTATTTTTACTTGTATACATATTACCATACAAGCAACTTCTTTATCTGCCATTTCTCCCCCACCCACAAAAAAACTAAAAGAAACTAAACTGACCGTCCTCAAAGGCCACCAAAAAATAAATCTAGCCTCCTGCAACTTCCAGCTAAAAGTGGAAAATCCCCAAGAGTCACCATCTATAAGAGATAAGAAAGGGACTTCAGCTCTGGACTGATGTTGCATGTAAGTGTTGACAAATTCATATTTGAGTCAGACAACAGGCAATAAACACCATGCAACATTTTCTACCTCACAGCAGAACACATGTAAAATGCTACAGGGGTACAATACTCTGTTTTTACGGGCAAATTTCTATCTACATTTGCTCTTGTTTTATTAGCTCAAATGGCCAGTTGAAATTTCTGCATAGTTGACATTCTTTCTCGTGCCCTGTTGGTTCCTTATAGTTGTATAGTGGTACAGTTGTCCCACAGTTCAGCAATATTCAACAACACTCTGCGACAAGCAGCCCCACATTTGAACACACTACCTCAATCGTATTGAGGAAATTGAGGCCCAGACCCATCTTGGATGAGTTTTGAGTAGTTTTGCCACCATCTGTGAGCAATAGCACTTCTGATGAGATGTCTATCCTAATCATCGGTCCATTTAAGTTCACAGTTAAATCCATTTTAGGCCAAAAGAGAGTCACAGAAGTCAGGAAAAGTCTATCTTACAACTTTTTCCATTAGCTTTCCAGCTGATGATTTGAATTGACAACACCTCATTCAATGTTTAAATCAAGAACAGAGATCTCTTTATGAAACCTGTTAACACTTAACCACAACCTTCCTTTGAAGCTGTTAAACATTCAGCATGTTGTCACGACTCTTTCTGCTTCACATCCTGGCTCACTCCAGCCTTTTTTTTATGCAGTTTCCCTTCTCCAAGCACTGATTTGCTCCGACAGCTTGAGAGCTCATGCACACCACTTACTTTGCGAATCGCTGATTGTGGTGGACAATAATGGCTAAATTGTGTCATTTCATTTTTCATATTTTCAACACAACCCGCTGTTCGCACTGCTTCTTTCAAGGCCACTCACTTTTTAGGAAGCCTGCTCCAGTAGCAACATTTCCAAATGAATCAGTTTCAGTCTAAATCTATTGTGAAAACCCTACAAACATTGAAACGATTTTGAGCATTGTTTTCCTTTTCTTTTTTTTTTGTCTTGTAGATATGGAAAAACTGGGCAGATTTCAACACTCAGACTATCGTCAAATGCTAAATACCTCAGACATGGTGGTTGCGTGCTTGTGATAATGGTGTCTACTTGAGCAAAAGCAACGGCTCAGCAGGCTGTATCACTGAGCCGGGTCATCGTGTCACTGAGCACTCATATTCAATATCCATCATGCTCTGAGTAAAAAGAGCTAAATGCCAAGTCTTAAAGTTACAAACTGTGCATTTTGGCAATTGCAATGATTTTGGTCAAAGCCACAAAGCATTTTCCCTGAAGATAAACTTTGCCCACTGCTGTCTCCTTATCAGCATTCCGACCTGGATGAACAAGATGAAGGTAGTTTAAAAAAAATGAAAATTTGTAATGATCTGAATGAGTTTTCCTGTTAAACATGATACTTTTTGGTACAACTATGACAACAGAATGGGAGGACGACAACCGTGGGGTGAAGAATATGACAACACACAACAGCAGGACTTTGCATTTGGACAGCCTGTTTGGTTTTTCTTAATATCAAACACCTTCCATTCAGCTGCATTTGATTCAGGTCTGATGTATTTGTACAGTAGCCTTTCCTAAGAAAAGTTAAATAAGTGAATAAGTGAAATGCCTTTCTTAGATTGATATATATACACTTTCCTTCTCCACCAAATTTTTTCAGGTCAGATCAAATCTTTTTGTCACACATCCTCTGCTCAAAGGACTTCAGCTTGATTAAACAATCCCACAGCCTGAATAAATTAGGTTTCTACATAGTCCTTTCTAAAAGCTTAAAATCACTTCTTGTATTTCTTGTTTTTGTGTTCTCACCTCAGTACTTGTGTAGTGGCAGTGTCAGTGGCATGTGAGGAATGAGCCAAATATCCCTTTAGTATATTGTAATGTGAGACCCAGACACTAAATCCACAAAAGAAACGTGTAATTATTGTTCCACATGGGTGATTATGAACACCTTTGTCTTTCACTGGTGCACACTGTTACAGCCAATGAACAACCTTTCTATGGCTTAGTCAATGTTCTTTCCCAATGTTTTCCCTATATGAAACAGAACAACAATAAAAATTATCAATTTGTTTCTGTATGAAATCTAATCTGAGATGTGTTGTGGTTAGAACAATGGTCTCACAGAACCTCTCTGCATTTTAAGTTATAGCACTATTCGAAAAATAGATGTCTTTAAACTTTGATTTCAGAGCTCTCACAGTAAGGGTCCAGAAGTTGAAAGGTATCAGAGATCTCTAAATGATTTTGCTCATTGGGATGACAAGGTACAAGACCCTTTCCATCGTTTGGAACATGACTTGTTCTTTAACAACTATGTTTTGAACACATCTCCGTTAAAAGAAGCATTGCACTAGATAAAGGATGTCAACATACTTTTCACTAATGTACTTGAGCCAATGCTTCAAGTATGACAGAATATCAGGCTCATGGGAAAAACTCGGAAGATGTGCAGTTAGCATTGATTCACTGGTGGTGCACTTAGGATTACTTTGAAATATTTGATAGTTTGTCACTTAAAGATAAAGAAAACAAATAAAATTGTTTTAATATATTTGAATAAGAACATCTTTCAGTCTGAGCATATTTGAGAGAGCTTTGGACATTACGTAGGAATCAAAATCTGGATTTCCAGAAAGTTAACAAGAGGCACTGCAGTTTGGTAGCTTGTTTGTTGCTTTTTTTTTCACTTCAATAAATGTGGTTTATGAGAAAGATATTTATTAGGTTCAGCCCCAAAACTCACAGGTACAGTGACCAAAAAAATATAATTTAACTGCTGTTTCTTCATCTCAAAACTGTTCTGCTGCAGGAGGGAAAGAAAGAACCTAAGGATGTCAGTCTCAAGCACTTCCTGCTCTGCCTTTTTCCTCCACACAGTGTCACTGTGTCCGGGCAACGTCTCTCAAGGCAAGGCAACTCTTTTCTCTGGATTCAGACAGTTTAAAATCCAGTATAACCAACCATAGTGTTTATTTTTTTCAATCATCTGACCACACATAAAAACAAAAGCAGCAGGTACCAATATCGAAAAGTTTCCGTCTACTGTGAAAGCATTTCTATGAATCCATTCCGGGAAAACTATATTGTAAAGGGAAACATTTGACCATTGACCCAGGAGCATTTCAAACTTGCCCTACTTACAGTAAGTGTGTCAAAGGGAATGTTGTCCCTTAAACTGTGCTGATCTTTGACCGGATTCGTGTTGTTTTTTAATGTGGATTTTTGTCTGTGCTATATTTTGTGGCACATAACAAAACCCACATTGCA